AAACCCGAAACCCTAAACCTCAAAAAAAAAAAAAAAAGGACCCTAACTTTAAAGAGCTGCCCGTTTGGGTGGAGCCGGAGGTCTATCTGCGCTTCTGCAGGCGTTTAGGACGCTTGGCCTTGGGTCATAGGTTGCAAGCAGCCAAAACCCTAATTAAACCCCAAACCCAACACCCTAAAGACCTAAACCCTAAACCCTAAACCCAAAACCCAAAACCCTAAACCCTAAAACCCTAAACTCTAAACCCTAAAACCCAAAACCCTAAAACCCTAAACCCCAAATGCAAAACAAAAGCAGCCCAACTTGAGAAGCACAAAAAGCTCGGCGAACCTCAGGTAAAAAGTGCAGTCTAACCATGGCAGTCCGGACGTTTGGGGTTTAAGACATGGGCCTTAGTAATTAGAATAGCGTTCCTTCAAGGGTTCCTTTAAAGGGTTCGATAAGGGCTATATACTGTACGGGTTTAGGGTTTAGGTTTTGGGTTTAGGGGATCTTTAGTTCTTGGTCGGCTGCGCTCTTTTGCGCAATTTCAAGTTGTCGGGCTTTACGAAATGTCCCACGGTAGCATACAATGACGCGCACTCTGCGATAACTATGGAGAAGCCCTGCACCCTCATACGCCAAACGCTTAAAGTCCGGAGGCCAAACCCGCGCCTCTGATACTAAGATATTTAGAGGTCCCCATAAGTAGCCGTATCCTCTTATATTGTGTACCCATAGGCTCTATTGTAGTTCCTTGTTGGGACAGGGTCCTAAATATAAACCACAAGAGGGGACCACAATGGCGTTTTTGGGTACTTTCTTCATATGCTAACATGCCCGCGAACCGAAGGGTAATGATTCAGGCCACGCGCGCCGAAGCCTTGCACCCTGATCTGAGGTCCCTGCCAATAAGAACAAGAGCACCAAGCCCCCGAAAAGTCCATAAAGGACGTTGAAAAACCTGTCTTTGGGTTTCAAAGCTTGAGGCTGTCTGAGTTGGGGTTGAGGTCTTAGGGGGTTTAGGGGTTTAAGGGCTCAGAGGTTTAGCGGTTTCGAGTTTAGGGCTTAGGGTCTAGGAGTCTAGTATAGGTTTAGAGGGAAGATGTACAGTGTAAGGTTCCGCATTCATTATGGAATACGGAGTATATGCAGACATAAACCCTAAACCCTAAACCCTAAACCCTAAACCCTAAACCCTAAACCCTAAACCCTAAACCCTAAACCCAAAGGGCCCATTTCAAACCCACAGGCTCTGGTACAGCAGCATTGGAAAAGCTTGTTCTCGCAGAGACATTCCGGCACCCTTGTAGGGGGCCTTAACAATCAGAATGGGGATTTGGGACATGTTAAGCTATACCTACTGTTGCAACCCTAAACCCTAAACCCAGTAGTGTTGCCTATTCCGAGCCGACACGAAGACGACGACAAAAAAAACACACGCTTCTCCGAGAGCCTCTGGTTGCTTGGGCCTATGATTTGGGTTTAACTAGGGCTTTGAAGGATTGGCCTCGAAAGCTTGGGGTTTAGGGCTTTAGGGCTTTAGGGGTTTAGGGGTTTAGGGTTTAGGGTTTTGAAATATTTGGGCTGAGAAGTTTGGGGTTTAAGGCTTCGGGGGTTTATGCAAGATGTCATCGGACGTCCCATGCGAGAAGAACGCAGGAGATCCTTAACGAAGCAGCTAATTAC